CTAACACTCTGGTCGAATTTCAGCAAAGTTAGCAGGACTGAAATTGACCAGCGTATGGCCATCTTTAGAAACTGACTCAGGGAGCCCCTTCTCTCTTCAGCTTCTAGATTTTACCCTAGCTTATAATGACAGATATGTCCTCCTTTGCTACCTGGTGATGAAATGTGGTGTCACAATGTGGCTCTAAGACAGTGGCGTCACAAGTGGGGTGCGGCCCGCACCCGGGTGACACCATTGGAGGGGTGACACCAAAATGACTGACAGTAATTTCGGTGTCACCCCCTCGGAAAAGTCGGCCAATCGGTCATGGACTTACACCTCTCAGTTGTTCGAGAGAGAGAGAGAGGAGGGGACCCAGCAGCATACCTTATCCCGCCTCGTGCCCTCCTCTCTCTGCCGGCGTCCATCACCAAGATGGCCGTCGGCAGGTAACAACGGTACAGAACGTGACGTCATTACGCGCGTGCGCAAAGACGCCACCCCGCCTCTGCTCTAAGGAAACAATTATTTTCAATGAGAACCACTTTAAGTAACTCAAAAAGGATCAGTGTGCTAATCACGCCAAACAATATCGAAGCCAACTATTCATTATAAGACATATGCAGAAGACATTCTTTAGGGGGAGGGGATTTCCATCTAAACGGCTAACCAGCTTTAATCATCCTTCTGAATAAACATGTGTAATTTAATACTTACACCGAGAGCTTTGGGCTTGGCCTTTAGAAAGGTCTGGTAAAAGGCTGAAGACTCAGTAATTTGAGGTAAGACAGCAGCAAAGCTCCACTGGGGGGCAACAGTAGGCACTTTCCACATCTGCTGAGCCGGGGGGACATCATACCCCATAGGAGCTGTATGGACATTGAACTCTGCCAGATTGCTGTACACATTAGACTGCGGAGAATCCATTTGTACTTCATTTGGTAAAGGTTCATAGGTTGGTAGATTGGCTTCATTGGTCGAAGAGGGCATCTTGAGGAGGTCCTGGAGGAAAAAGGAAATCTTTAAGAATAATAAATCTATAATAAACGTCACAGCGATTAGCATGTAAAAAATTACCTGCGTAGTTTTGTCTGAACAGTAAACCAGGATTACCCATCAGTCACATAGTCTGTTTGTTATTATCTCCCTTCATCCCATTAAAGTTATACTTTGTTCCCTCTGGAGTTCATTACCAGGCACATGAATAATCCCCTGACGGCATCTCTGTGGTTGTGATGTAGTCACGCTCTGAGATTTCATAGAAACGGAAAACCTTCACTTACACAGCTCAATGATTCGTATGGTCATGTAATGTAAGGAAAGTAGAGTGCGGCACATGGTGGCCAATCTGGTCTGGAATATAACCGAAGCACAACAAAATACATTCACCATTGTTAGGAAAGTCCTATTGGAACATATTCTCAGACCTGCTATGTATTAAAAATTACTTTATGGGATTGTTGGTTGGTAATTTCTCTAATTTAAATTAAAACTCCACTTTTGTTAATGAATATACAGTATGTATGTATGTGTGTGTGTGTGTGTGTGTGTCTGTGTCTGTGTGTGTATATATATATATATAAAATTGCTGGACAAGCCCTTCCTTTTCAATCTCCACACACTGTAATTAAGAAAAACAAATCCAATGCAAACTGGGAACCCGAATGTGTTCTGCAAACTATTGGTGTACAGAACACCTCGAGAAATGTTTGCTGCTTCTGTGATTGGCTCACTGATTTTTGCAGACGTCTGCACTTGTGTCAGGGGTGTACGGCTGGGGCGGGAGTGGAACCCTTTGGCAGGGACAAAGAGTCCAAAAACGAGATACATAGGGGAAATCCACAAGCGTAGTCAGGTCCAAGTCCGGGTCGAGGCAGGGTCGATAGCGGGGGTTCAGGCAAGGGTTCAGGCAAGGGTTCAGGCAAGGGTTCAGGAAGCAACAGGTTTACACACAGGGAGCTGGCGATCACACCATAGAGGTAGAATAACTCAGCAATAAGCCAAGGCTCTGACTGGTTTAAATACCCAGGGAACCCAAGGACCACCTCCTGGTTGCCGAGGCGACCGGGAAGCTTCCCTAACCAGGAGCCAAAAGCAGGGCTGGCGGGGGGATGGTGTGTGCTGGGGACCTCCCCCAGCCTGGCTAGCACCTGAAAACGCTAAGTGGCGCAGGCGCGTTACGCACGCACCCCCATACACGCGCACAGCCTGTGTACCGCGTATGCGCGCCAGCGGCCCCGGCGCCAGGAGTCCTACCAGGAGGTGAGCCTGGTAAGGAGCAGCACCCCTGGTTCCCTGACAACTTGGATGCAAGTAAACTTTAGGCACCCCCTGTAATAGGAATTTCATTTTTGATGAGGCGGTCTACTAAGCTGGTCTACTAAAGGTAGGCAGACATTGCACCTTTTATCATTAGAATACTAAGATTTCCTCAGAAGGTTATAATGAAGGCTGACTCTTCTCTACAGGGGTCAGTTTGGAAAAGGCTGTGAAATTGCATTTTTTTTCCACAACATAGAAAGGTAGAACTCCTCAGAAATATTTTATATTGTAAGCTCTCATGGGCAGGGCCCTCCTTATCATCTTGTCTTGATTTGCATTGTAACTTTTAATGTCTTCCTTATATTGTAAAGCGCTGTGCAAACTGTTGGTGCTATATAAATCCTGAATAATAATAATAAAAATAATATAACAGCAACATTTGATAAAATCCTTGCGATGTTCATGCAATGATCATCCAGAGGGATGTTATTCTTTAAAGGTCTATCTATCTCAACACTACTATTTAAATGTTTGGTAGATGCTGGAGTATTCTGACTCCGATTGATGTATTAGCGATTTATCCCTTGCTGAGACCTCTATGTCTGGCCTGTATAAGCAGATATAATCACTAGGGACAATCCTTATTAGGTAGCTGAACTCACCAAATACCTTTTCATCCACGGAGTGCTTTATTGCATACAACAGAAAACAGGATACAACAGATGAATGAACAGACAATATTTGAAGGTCAAGGATGATAATGTTTCCAAGCTAGCATGTACATGTGGTCCTACTATAGGCAGCCATGACACTAAACTAGTTCTTGAAGAAAGGGGGAAATACATCATAGATGGGAGGGAACACAGAAAAACATGGTGCAATAACCAAAACGACCACAATATGTCAGTATAATAACCAGCTATGCTAAAACCAAAGATAATGGCTTAAAGGAGAACTACAGTATGTGGTTAAGGCTTTTCCCCATAGTTCTCCTTAGAGTAACGGGAGGACACAAACTTGCGTCCTCCCATCATCAGAAGCGATCTGGCGACAGGTAAGTCGCCAGGATCGCTTCTGTTGTAAAGCCGACAGTCGGCTCTACAAGTTTAAACAGAGTCCCGGCGGCAAAAGTCGCCGGGAGTCTGTTTAAACAGCCCCGATGCTGGCGATGTACACTGTACGTCGTCAGTCACGAAGGGGTTAAGGAACATTAGCGATATAACTTCTCAATTCACATTTGTATGAACACCAACTATGACTATGAATTAGAAATAAAAAATCAAACAGCGCTAAATTTAACTAGTGAATGATAGAAATCAAGTGCTAAACATATAAGCCAATTTTAACAAAAGTGCTGAAAAAAATCAAATCAAACGTGGGTGACAAGAATTCTTTCCGTGAACATAATGTTAATTATCCTATCAAAAAGTGACTCTTCTATGTGGTCAAGGTGGATAGATATTAATTGAGTGTTTCGTTTAAGAAACTATAAATGATATGTCTCTATGAAAAAATATATATGCATATGTGGTCTCCGTTATTTGCTGTGTAAAATTCCAATTAAAAATGTTTTATAAAGATAACAAAAAAGTCTCTGTGATATTTTCAATCTGTTTCAAAGTGAATAAAAATAACGAAATATTCCAAATGTTCGGTGATATATCCGCAATCCTTATTCCGGGGAGTGTATTAAGATCAATACATATCCCCTAAAAGTAAGTACTCACCCCAAGTATCCGGCTGTACCACACAGCCACACGTATATTTATCGGAGTGAATTGGTCCGGTGTATGTTGCCGGCACCTCCTCTGCCGTTGGTTGTCCAAATAAAGAGTACCCGTTCTCTCATGCAAAGAAAGAAAAGTCCTGGTGAGAGACCAACAGATAAGATTGCTTCTCGTGTCCTACGTCCTCCGGGAGTGTGAGAGGACGACGAGTAGCACGAGTGCCACTGGTACTAATCGAAAGCTGATTAATCAATGATTGAAAATGTTAACAACTTTTTCAATCATCGCTTATAATCGACTTAGTCGATTAGTTGTTGCAGCCCTACATTCATCCCTGATTTCTGGGCACAGTCCCCGGATTCAGGAGACCGTCCCCTGACAAATGATGTCCCCGGGAATATAAAATAAACCAATTTTTTTTCTTTTTAATACTCACCTGATCCCTGGATCCACCGACAAGCGCAGCCTGCCATCTACCACGCTGTTAGTAGTTCAACTTTTTTTTTTTTTCCTATTTTTTTCTCACTTAACTTTATTGCTATTACATAGGGTGATAAGAAATTCCCTATGTGATAGCAAAAGATGTGACACGTCCTCTTTATGGAGACATCAGGGGTCTCCAAGACCCCTAATGTCACCTAGGACCCCCCTGAAGAAGCTGATGAAGCACAGATCTGCTCCATCAGCTTCTTTCCAGCATCTGAAGCTGGAGAGCAGGAGCAATGCAAAATGCGCAGCCGGCTTCCTCACTACACTAATAGCGTATCTTCTCAGAAGCTGCACACAGCGTGCCGGTTTAAGTAGTAACCAGCACACGCTGTATGCAGCTTCTAACAGCATGGGAGACGGGAGGCCGCGCTTTTGGTGGATGCAGGGATCAGGTGAATATAAAAAAAAAGGTTTATTTTATGTACCCGGGGATAAAATGCCCCCGGATAATATATTTTAAAAACTATGTCGCCCTACTTTGGCTTGGTCGGCCGGGTGCAGGTGGCAGCGGAGGTTGAGGGGCCGTTCGTGACGCCATCGCAGAGGCCCGGGGGGAAATTGCCACATGGGGTCCCCCCTAAAATTCCATACCAGACCCTTGATCCAAGCATAGGCCTGGCAGGGCCGGAAAGGGGTGGGGCGAGCGAGCGCCCCCTCCCTCCCACACCAGGCCACATGCCCTGGGCACTGGGAGGGTGTCCCTGTGCCGATGGGGAAAAGGGCCTCATCCACCACAACCCTGACCCAGTGGTTGTGGGGGTCTGCGGGCAAGGGGGCTTATTTGCATCAGAGTACCCCTTTAATTAAGGGGGCATCCAGATGCCGCCCCCTCCCTTGTGAATGAGTAAGGGATACGTGTACCCCTACCACTTCACTAAAGGGTTAAAACAAATAGTTATGAAAAAGTCCAAACTTTTGATAAAATCATTTAACTGCTTGCTGACCAGGTGTTTAGACCCCCTTCCTGGCCAGGACATTTATTCCATCATGTAACGCTGTACTCAAATACATTTTATACCATTTTTTGGAGACAGATAGAACTTTCTTTTGGGGGTATTTAATCACCACTGGGGGGTTTTATTTTTTACTATATTAAGGAAAAAAAATTGGAAAAAAATAGCTTTTTTACATTGTGTTAGGAAACAATGATTATTACTAATTTTTTTTTTGTAAAATATAAAAGATAGGGTCACATCGGGTAAATAGACACCAAACATGTCAAGCTTTAAAATTGCGCACCCACAAAAAAAAATACCATACCCAAAATTGACTATAGGCGATGCTTTAAAAGCTTTTACCGCTCATCAGTTTCGTGTTAACAGTGATTGATGGCCCTAGAATGATTGCTCTCATTCCGACGTTCACGACGATATGTAACATGTGCGGCGTAATGGGCGCAATTGTCGTTTTCGCAGGTATGCGCACCCGACGTATGTTTGCATGCGTGTATGTATGGGGGGGACTTTAAAAAAAAAATATATATTCTTTTTTATGTGTAACCTAAAAATGTTTGGGGGGGAAACTTTTATTTTTTTCCTATTTTTTTTCCTATTTTTTTTTTCACTTAACTTTATTGCTATTACATAGGGGGCTCAGAAATTCCCTATGTGATAGCAAAAGATGTGACAGGTCCTCTTTATGGAGACATCAGGGGTCTCCAAGACCCCTAATGTCACCTAGGACCCCCCTGAAGAAGCTGATGAAGCACAGATCTGCTCCATCAGCTTCTTTCCAGCGTCTGAAGCTGGAGAGTGACACAAGAATGCGGAAGTGATGTAATACACATCAGTTCTGCATTCTGACAGCGGAGAGGGGACCGGAGGGAGATCGTGTACCGACCTCCCTCTGATCCCCTGTGACACAGGCACTATGCTGGTCCCGGGCTCGCATCGGGCACAGTGGACCCCGGGACCAGTGTGACAGTGTTTTTTTTACAACGGCCGGCCGGGAAGTGGTTAATTGAAAAGAAAAACTAAAGACATGTTTTTGACAAGTATTTATTAAAATAAAACCCCCCAAAAATTGATCCACCGACGTAATCCATAGTCAATCATGGCATCCAGCGTTGTCCACGACGACGACAAAATAAAAAAATAAAACAATAAAAAAATAGAAATAATTATTATTTTTTTAAACGCCGGCCGCCGTCCCGCCCGATCCCCGCCGCATAATGACATTTTGACAGATGCCGGCAAAACATAAACAATTGGGTGTAGCTAGCGGTGACAGCTAGCTCCACCCAATTGTGTAGTTTGCTGGCATCTGATAGGCGAGACATGATTGGGCAGAGTCATCCATCGTGACTTTGCCCAATCATGGCTCCAAATGAGTACTGAGCCTTGATTGGGCAAAGTCTTGCACCTGACCTGTGGTCAGGTGCAAGTCTATAACAAATTAGAGCTTTGGAGGGCTCTGTGCAGTATGGGACATTGCACGGTCGAACAGACCGCAAACATCCCATAAAGTTCGGCGGTAGGCGAACGCTCAAACGGCCGATGTTCGATTCGAACTCATGTTCGAATTGAATCGGCGGACCATCCCTACTAGTAATCTACAAGTGCACCTAGCACTGCCCACTCGGCAGGTTGACAGCTGCCGTCCTAGGGTGGCTTTGTTGCTCTTCCGTATAAACAGTGGCACACTGAGTGTAGTCACCTTAGGACAGGAAGTGTGTTACTGGCAGGCTCACCAAGTGAAAATATAAAAGCCTAAAGAAATGAGGATCATCATCTTGATGTGTTAGCTTTGGGATTTGAGACTAAATATCGGCAGCAAGTTTTCTTTAGATGAGCAAAAAGGACAATTTGCATTGTTGTGACATTTCTCCTCATAAGCAATGGCTAGTAATTCAGAAATCCATCTAAATAACCTTTTCATTTCAAATGTCTTCCACTAGATGGCAGCAAATACCAAACAATATACACGCAGGGCCGTCCAGGCTCTCCGCAGTGTGATGAGGAACAGAGACACCTGGTGGTCATTTGGGTTTATTACATGCCTATTATAACCTGAGCCATCTTTGAAGTTCCCGGAAGTGTGCCCTTTTCAGCGGCAGCCATGTTTGATTCTGGCAGAAGAAGGATTTAAAGGTCTTTACATAGTCGAGAGAGAGTTTTGAAGAGCACAGAAGCCACCTCAGTGATTATGTGACGGGGAATCGGCCCAGGTGTGAAGTTGAGTATTTCCATTGAGTCCATTTCTTGTTCAGAGTTCTCTCCATGTATCAAGAACTTTTAAGCTGAAGGTCAGGTCAGTCCAAGTGAAATCATGTGACAATCTATGGGGGTTCTTGGAATATAGTGGTCCGTGGTCAGACAATTGCTGGTCGTATACCAACTTTGTTCTGAAATGTTCACTTTTGGAACGTTAATTCAATTTTCTAATGGTTAGTGGGGTTAAATCGACGTTCGTTTTCGACCACATAAACGAGGAAAATTTGAAGGAGCAGGATGGAACCTTTTTTTTTATCTGAATGAATGAAATTCTAACCGTGAATGTGATTTAAATTCTTTTTTTTTTTATTCAGGGAAAAATCATAATGTAGTACACGTGATAGGAACAAAAGAAACCTGTTTACGTCGGGGATTCCAGATCTAGACTAGTGATGTGGGGGGGCACGATGTGAACCTGTCAGTGACCACCCCTCCTCCTGATCTAATCAGTTGCGGTCGGGGCATTCCTCACCCTGCAGCTACACATAACAAAGGGGTGGGGAACACCCCCGGAGGCAATTCACTTCATACTAAGCCTATCACAAGTCAGACCACCCCTTTGTGATATGTAGCTCTGCAGTGCAAGCAATGCCCTAGGCCCAGCTCATTGGCTGTTGTGTCAGTGCAAATTTTACGCAGGCCTGTGCAAACTCGGAGGGACTGTTTTTTGCACCAACCACCCGCACATCACATCAGAATTTATAAAGCGCCAACAGTTTGCGCAGCGCTTTACAAAACTGAGGGAGACAATACAGTCAACAATACAATTTCAGTACAGGAGGTAGGAGGGCCCAGCGCGTGAGGGCTTACAATCTAGTAGGAGGGGCAAGCGATACAAAAGGTAATAACTGTTTCGAATGGTTTAAAGGAGAACTATGAGGTGAGTGAGAATCACTCATCCTCATAATCTGAGCCGACGTGTGACAATGCAACTCTCACACTTCGGCTCAATAGATCTGGAAGTGAGCGACCACATACCGTCGCTCGCTCACTTCTCGATCATCTCCCTGCAGAGAGCGATGACTGTCACGGCTCCCTGCAGGGACTCCCCCCTCCCATCCTCCAGCGCTAACTGGCGGAACGGACGGGGAGGGGGCGGGTACAGCTGGCTCTGCCCCTAGATAGGCAGAGACAGCTGTCAATCACGCAGCTGGGTGGATCTCGACAGTAATGTTGGGATCCGTCCTGGCTGCGGCGTCTCAGTATACAGCAAGTTTTAGCTCCCTATATACTGAGCTTTGGGTGACGGGAGGACGCTAGTTTATGTGATCCTGTGACCCTGAGGAGAACTATGGGGAAAAACACTGACCCCATAGTTCTCCTTTAATAGAAGATCTGAAAGGAGAGTTATATTGAGGAGGAAAAGGCCTCCCTGAAAAGATGAGTTTTCAAGGATCGCTTAAAGGTGGACAGAGTAGGAGATAGATGGGCAGATTGGGGTAGGGAGTTCCAGAGGATGGGAGACACTCTGGAAGAATCCTGGAGGGGACAAGAGCTGGAGGCCTTTGGAAGAACGAAGAGGGCGCTTTGGGTGAGATTTTGAGATGAGATGGGTGATGTAGGTTGGGACACATTAGTAGATGGATTTGTAGGTTATTGTTAGTATTTAGAATTGTATACGTTGGAGAAGTGGGAGCGATTGGCAGAGGGGGGTGGCAGGCGCTGATCGGTTGGTAAGGTGGATAATTCTGACCAGCAAGTCACTCCTATACAGGATCAGATTTGTGCACAAGCCAAAGGAAAACATTTTAGGTCTGTATGAATGGTTGTGCCCAGGGCCGTCCCCGTAATGAGGCTGTATACTCACTCAATCTTCTGAGCTGGCTTTTTCCTACACTGGTCCCTTCCACCTCGCTACCCCTCGACTGCATTGATCCAAGGTGCCTGAGTCATCACATTCTATACAGTATATAGGATGTGAGGATGCTGGGGAACATACCATCTCTGCAATGGAGGAGGAGACAGGCTTGGAGGATCGGGTGAGTATAACTTCTTTTTTTTTTAACCTAGAAACAAACGGGCACTTAACCCTTGCAGTATGAGGGAAGCCTCCCTGCAAGGGTTCAGAGTTCTTCTTTAAGCTCACTTTATTTCCAGTTTCAATTTGACATGATGAGTTCACTGTTTGTATTTTTCAGGGACAAATGAGTCTCCGTCCATCCATCATCTGGCGTGGACTCTGCACTAAGTTTTCTTCTAGCCAGCCCGGTGAAATTCTTTCCTATGAGACGGAAAAGAGGTGCCGACAAGTTCTGAGTAGAACGGTGCTACCAGCCAAAGCGTCGGCGGGAGTTCTGGTGACGTTATGTACTTTCCGTGGAGCCCCCTCCTTCCTCTACACCCTGCGCTCCTCCAAGCTGAAAGGGAGGCACAAAGGAGACATCAGGTGAGCATCACTCTACACCAGGGGTAGCCAAACACTGCTCCTCCAGCTGTGGTGAAACTACAAATCCCATGATGCATCTCTCTCCCCAGGAGTCGTGGCTGTGAGAATGTTGCAATGCCTCATGGGATTTGTAGTTCCACCACAGCTGGAGGACCAGTGTTTGGCTACCCCTGCTCTACACTATACACTCGTCTCACCAAAACATAAGCTATAGGGTGAACTCAATGCAGTGGCGTCACAAAGGGGGTGCGGCCCGCATCTGGGTGACACCAAAATGACCCCCCTCTGAAAAGTCGGGCGCTCGGTCATGGACCAGGAGAGAGGAGGGGACCCGGCGGCATACCTTATCCAGCCGGGTGACTGTCCCCCCCTCTCTCTGCCGGCGTCCATCACCAAGATGGCCGCCGGCAGGTATCAGATGACTCAATGGACTTGTGTCTTTTTCCTACCTGACTAACTAGGTAACTATGTCACCTATGTGGTACTTTAAAACATTAACTTTATAGTTTTTCTGATCAGAAATGATGTTTTCGGGTCGCTTAAAGGAGAACTATGAGGTTAGGGATTTTCCCATAGTTCTCCTAAGGGTAACGGGAGGACACAAACTAGCGTCCTCCCGTCACCCAAAGCTCTGTATATAGCGAGCTACAGCAAGCGGTATGCTAAGACGCCGCAGCCGGGACGGATCCTGAAATCACTGTCGAGATCCACCCAGCTGCATCCGCCTATCTAGAGGCAGAGCCAGCTGTACCTGCCCCCCTCCCATGTCCGTTCCTCCAGTCAGCGCTGGAGGATCGGACAGGGGAGGGGGGGTCCCTGCAGGGAGCAGTGAGTGACAGTCACGGCTCTCTGCAGGGATAGATGGAGAAGTGAGCGAGCAACGGTATATGTGCCCTCATTTCCCGATCTATTGAGCCGACCTGTGACAGTCTTTTTATTACACGTCGGCTCCAACTATTATGCTGAGTGATTTTCGCTCACCTCATAGCTCTCCTTTAAGGATCAGCCCAATGCACTGTATGCATGTTATATTATCAATGTTTGCTTTTCTCTGTAAGTAGAGTAACACAAATCATTTTAGAGCAGTGGTTCTCAACCTTTGTAACCTCAGGACCCATATGTGTCCTTGGTCATTAAGCTGCGACCCAATTGAACTGTACAACAGCAAAAAGTTTTCACAGCACACTCACCAGCCAGCATGCAAAAAAAAACCTGTCTCACCGCTAAGGTTAAAAACAGAGGTTTGGATACACGTCTTCTGCAGAAAATGTAAAAGCTGCACAGCCTCGTCAAGGCACCTCTAACCTGTGAGAGTCTCCATCTTGGAGCACAAGGGGCAAAAGATAAAACTGAGTGAAGGGTCCCCAGGAGGCAGCCCAACCTCCTTAAAGGCACAGGGACATCACAATGGCAGCTGAGAGCCCCAGTGTGTCACTGCACCAAATCAGAGAGGGGCCTTGACGTGGCGGTGCGCCTTTCACATATTCTGCAGAAGACGTGTATCTAAACCTCTGTGTTTAACCTTAGTGGTTAGAGCTGTATAAAGCCCTTCCATGTGCACCTTGCTTGAAAGCTGGTTATGAGTTAACCTCTTGCCGTCCATGATGGGAAGGGGGTTTAACACCGCGGATGTCAACTGGTTAATGAGTGCGTTTGCCATTTGTTTTGCCCAATTGAACTGTGGGTGGGAGTTGTGTTTTGGGTGCCGTTCAAATGAATTGCAACAGAACGCACCTCCCACACGAGAACGCATAGTAAGTGAGATTAATGCACTGTACTAGTGTGAGTTTGTGTCTCTCAGTGTCTTGGAGAGCCCATTCAAACACACATATGCTCCCCCCCAAAAAAAAATTTTAATTTTATTGGCACTGTAATCACAGCGCCACCTGTCTCAGCTGTCAGGAACTGCACACAACCCTAAACTCCCTAGGTGCGTCTTATGGAGCGAAAAATACAGTATATATTTTGTTGCTATTGAGGAATATATTTAAATAACAGTTTTTGTGCCTGGAGTTCAAATTGAATCTTATTCAGCTCATGTAGCGGTGAGGGCTCTTTAAGACCTGTGTGTAGGGGAAGAGAACATCTATGCATCTGCTTTAGTTATGGGAGATGTCATCTATTCAATAAAACAAACAGCAGGGCGGATTTCTTCTTTTTGGTTTACAGCAGCCCTGAAGTGAGATTGTGCTTCAGAGGTGGATCTGATGATAGAAACTAAACAGGCGTGATGTGTGATGACTTCAAACAAATCAGCATGCCTCCATGCAGGGGCGTATCTGCCGCGAGGCAAACAAGGCGTTTGCCTGGAGCGGCAGATTCGCTGAGGGCGGCGATGCTGCCTTGCCTAGGGCAAAGCTGCACATCCTCCCCCCCGGACTGACCCACCGATTCCCGTAGATGGCATCACCCACCTCTGTATAGTGCGCTCTCTCCCCCAGCGCCAGCACCACGACACAGAGCAGCAGCCGGCATCTAGCACACAGCGCCGCTGCTGCTTGCGGGCCGTCA